CAGAACAAACTCATGTGAGATCACTTTCAAGTAAGACTTTTATCTAAAATGATTTTATCTTGTCTGCAAATCTAGATTTTATGTTTTTAACTGAATCCTGGTTGCAAATGAATGACTATAGCCAGCTAGCTGAACTATGTCCGCCTCAATTTGATTGTTTTAGTCAACCAAGGGTCAGTGGTCGTGGTGGTGGGTTAGTGAGCGTGTATAGGAAAAATTTAAAATGTCATCAAGTACGCTGTGATGAATTTAACTCCTTTGAAGTTCTCACTCTTAACTTGGAGGGCTGCAACCTGTCATATTTGTTATAATTTATCGCCCCCCAAAACCACCTGGAGGATTTTTATCAGAACTTCCTGAATTTTTATCTACTCTGGTTTTAAATTATGACAAAATTGTTCTTTGTGGCGATTTTAATATTCATGTTGATGACCCCAACAATGTTAATGCAACTAACTTTTTAAATATGGCCACTTCTTTTAACTTCAAACAACATGTCAAAGGGCAAACACATAACCGTGGTCATACACTGGACTTGGTTTTTACCCTGGGTGTCAGCATTTCCTCTGTGGAATTAGTGGACATGACCATATCTGACCACAGATGTATTGTTTTTAGCTGTGATTCGCCTGTTACTCATGCTGCCTCACCAAGCTCCGTGTGTTCTCGCTTCTTTAATGAACAAAGTGTTTCAAAGTTTTGCGCATTCTTTCAGAGCCAAAGCCAACACCTGTCTGATTCCAACACCAACAATCTGGTCGATCACTTCAATCATATCTGCTTGTCGTCACTAAATATTACTGCTCCTCTAAAGGTTAGGCCTACGTCTAAAGCTAGTAAGCAACCCTGGATAAATGACAGCATTCGCAGCCTAAAAAGGGAATGCAGGAAAGCAGAGCGCAGATGGAAAAAATCCAGTCTCCAAGTCCATTACCTCAGTCTGAAGGATTTATCAATTAAATACAATAACATGGTTAAGGATGCGAGAACACACTATTTTTCTGAACTCATTACTACACATAAACACAATCCCAGGTTTCTGTTTAAGACTGTGGATCAGCTGGTAAACCCAAGCCCTCCTTGTGCCTCAGATGGAAGTAATGATGACTGTGAATTGTTTTTATCTTATTTTACCAATAAGGTGGTGTCAATCAGAGCCTCTATTACCCCCGTGGCCTCTTACTCAGAGGTTCCTCACCAGCAACAAGAGAGTTTTAACCAGTTTTATCCCATCGACTTGTCTGAGCTTTTGAAAACAGTAACACAAATGAGAGTGTCCTCCAGCCCACTTGATGTAATACCTACAAAATTTTTACTGAAAGTAATAGATTCTATTGGGCCCCATTTGATTTCTGTTTTCAACAGCTCCCTATCTACTGGTTGTGTCCCTGATTATTTTAAAACGGCTTGCGTGAACCCACTTTTAAAGAAACCTGGTTTAGATCCCTCCCTCCCACAAAATTTTAGACCAATTTCAAAACTGCCTTTTATTGCAAAGATTCTAGAAAGAATTGTGTCCAAACAGCTGCTCACTGGAAAATAACAAAATATTTGAAAAGTTTCAGTCTGGTTTTAGGAAGTACCACAGCACTGAGACTGCCCTGCTTAAAGTCACCAATGACCTTTTAATGTCTGCTGATGAAGGTATGTGCTCAGTCCTGGTACTCCTGGACCTTAGCGCTGCTTTTGACACCATTGATCACAACATCATGTTAGACAGACTGAGGCACTGGGGGGGATCTCTGGTACTGCTCTAGAATGGTTTTCATCCTACCTGTCAAATAGGAAGTTTTGCGTGTCTGTAAACAACTATGTCTCGTCGTTCTGTCCAGTTAAATATGGTGTGCCTCAGGGGTCGGTCTAAGGACCCATTTTGTTTTCCTTGTATCTGCTTCCCCTTGGACATATTATCCATAAACATGGCATTTCTTTTCATATTCATGCTCATGACACACAAATATACTTGCCCGTCAGATCCACAGACCCTGGAATGCTGAGTTCACTTAACAACTGCCTTTGTGAAGTTAAAAAATGGATGTCAAATAATTTCCTCCAGCTGAACTCAGACAAAACAGAATTCCTGGTCATCGGGTCTCAGCAGATGGCAAATCAAATACTGCCATCTGCTGGTTCCCTAGTAAATCACATTAAGCCTGTGGCAAAGAACCTTGGTGTTTGGTTTGATAGTAATTAAAATTTTGAGCAGCACACCACAAAGCTTGTTCAATCATGTTTTTATCAACTTAGAAATATAGCAAAAATTCGATCTATGTTAACTTTTAAGGACACCGAGACCATTTTACACGCCTTCATTTCATCACGCCTGGATTATTGCAACAGCCTTTTCACCTGTTTAACCCAATAATCTATTGATCGACTCCAGACTGTCCAGAACTCAGCTGCCAGGCTTTTAACAAGAACAAAGAAATATGACCACATTACTCCTATTTTAGCTTCATTACACTGGCTCCCAGTATGTTTTAGAATTGACTTTAAAATTCTATTGATCACTTTTAAAGCTCTTCATGGCCTCTCGCCTTGTTATATTATATATTATATATTTCTGACCTTTTAGTCCCATACGCACCAGCACGCACCTTGAGATCCTCGGGCAGAGGTCTGTTGTCTGTTCCAGAGTCTCGACTGAAAACTAAAGCAGACAGAGCGTTTGCTGTCAGGGCCCCGAGGCTCTGGAACAGCCTGCCCGAGGAAATCAGGTCAGCTGAGTCAGTGAACTCTTTTAAGTCCCTTCTTAAAACATATTTTATAGGAGAGCCTTTCCCGATCTTATTTGACTTTATTTTATCCCTTTTATTTTATTGTATTTTACTAATTTTATATTTATCTGTATTTTAGTCTTTTCAATGTTTTCATGCTTTTATCTTGTATTGTTTTTTGTATTATCGTCTTTACACTTGTTAAATCACTTTGTAACTTGTTTTTGAAAAGTGCTCTACAAATAAGGATTATTATTATTATTATTATTATTATTATTATTATTATATAAGGGACCAGACAATTAATTGTGCATTGGTTTGTGTGGGAAAATTGTTTTCTTAAAAATATGGAGTTTATCTCTAAATTAAACGAAAGAATGTACATTTTTTCAGCACATGCGTGATATCAGTCAATGTCATTATAAAGATACATGGAAACCGTTATAATAATAATAAATATTGTTTGAAACATTGCTTCAAAGGGCAAATAACACTGTAGTTTTTTCTTACGTTGCAACTTTACTATTCAATCAGCATTGTGAAGAAAACAAAACAAGTAATACTGAGACGGCAAGTAAATGTTGATTGTGGTGGTGGTAAAAAGAGGAAGTACTTTTTGTATGACTCTCACATTATTGTCTCTCACTGTGGATCTCTGGCACAGTAATACACAGCAGTGTCTTCAGGCTGCACATTCTGTCCGCTTAGAGTCACTGTTTTGCTGGAAGAGTCTAAGGAGATACTGAACTTGTTCTTTAGGGAATCTTTGTAGGATGTGCTGGATCCAGGTCCGCTTCCAATCCACTCCAGTCCTTTCCCTGCAGGCTGTCTGATCCAAGCTGTCTAGTAGCTGCTAAGAGAATAAGAGACCTGACAGGTGATGGTCAGACGTTGACCTGGCTGCACAGCCACAGAGGCTGGCTGTGTCAACTGTTCACACTTCACACCTGTTAAAAAAGAAAATGTTTAGTAACAAATGATCAAGTTATACTGCAAAAGATGAAATGCTGACTTTGACAAATCCAGACAGACTTACATCCAGCTGCCAACAGCAGCAGCAGAGCTACAGAAAACATGGTTTATGTTGAAAGTGACGTGCTGTGAACTCCACTGACAGCCTGACGGGAAGTTTTTATAGCTGAGTAACAAGGAAGGTCACTGAGTTTGCATAGAATCAAACATATGAAGCATCAATGTTGGTCTAACTGGAGCCAATAGAAGAGTCTGTTGACTGTTATTATATCTGAAGAGTGAAAACATGCCTGGAAATCACCTCTGCTTTGCATATGATGTTTAAATTTCATCTCACACTCTATTTTGACAATGTCCCTGCATTTACAGATATGAAACAACTGTTAATTTTGCTTTTACTGTAAACTATTAACTCCTAAATATGTTGTATTGAAACAACTAATGTAAATTTTTGTGCAATTGTAATAATGAATCGATTATTATTGCTATTCTTCATTTAAATATTAAAATGAGTCAGGGATAATGGAAAACAAAATCAGCATTGCAATAACAATAAGAGAAATACAGTGACAGCATCACCGATCATGTAACTACAACAGAAATGTAAGTTTTCTGCAGTTTTGCATAAAATACATTTAATGGTTTCAGTGTTTACAGACTCTAGTGGAGCAGCTCCTTCAGGCTTCCTGCTGTTCATCTCAAGATCAAGATGTCTGCTGAGATGAACTGATACTGACAGATGGAGCTGCAGTCACTGATGGTAAACACCTTATAGTCAAACACTAAAGACACTAAAGTCAAGTTAACACATGAGTTTAGTTTAGGGTAGAAAAGTATCAACTATCACAGTATCCAGTGTACATGAGCAGCAGGAGTGTTAAGCTTTAGTTCAGTCCAGGGTTCAAGTGTCAGTCAGTTAAGATCAATGAGAACAGCTGATCTAAGTGTCTCCTTTTAGATACAGAGGAGAGAGAAACATGAAATAAAAAAAAAAAAACATTTATAGAATAAAGTATGTAATATGAATACTAAGGTGGAAAGTCATGATTGGGCAACAACAGCCTGAAAGATGACTACAGCTGCTCAACCAACTCCCATGCACTGTAGGACTTTCTGCCAGACTGAAGTTGATAAATGTGATTGTATTTAAGAACTTGTATTGTAAAAGAACTTTAGCGTTCAACATCATATAGTTAGTATAATGTGTGTTACAGTAATACTTAAATTTATATTTGAAAAGTTGATGTGTGACGGTCATCAACGCTCTCGTGTCCTGCAATAAAAAAAAGCAAACCAGTTTAAAGATCAATATGATGAGTGCTAGTTGATTGATTTTAATGTCCTTTATAAGTAGATGAATAAAAACACATTAACAAAAAACAGCAGTCCAACAAATGTTATACAGACTGAATGTAATGTTCCCAGTGGTGGTGGTAAATAGAGGAAGTAGTTTTTGTATGACTCTCCTGTTATTGTCTCTCACTATGTCTCTTCTGGCACAGTAATACACTGCTGTGTCCTCGGTCTTCAGATTGTTCATCTGTAGATAGATTTTACTGCTGGAGTCATCTCTGGAGATGGTGAATCTACCCTGGACTGACTGGGAGTAAGAGATTGGAGAACTAAATGTGTGTACAAGAGCAATCCACTCCAGTCCTTTTCTTTGAAAATGATAATCTTTGAATATTTGAGTTTGTTGCAGCTGGTGGAGGGCCTGGATTGTTCTTTCTTTTTTTACTTTTAAAGGTTTCACAATATAAATTGTGGCAGTTTGAAGCCACAGACATACAGAGAAACCTGGAGCCTCAAAAGGACATGAATTATTTAGGAAGTGAAACCTGTGGGACGATATGCAAAGAATTTACAACTGCAGTGCACAGGAAAAAGGCTGCCGGTTTATCTGTCAGATTAATGTACATGAAAGTGCAAATTTTAAATCACAATTAAGAAGAGTAAACAAAACACAAGACAATTTGAGTAGTTAAGTGAGTGTAGAGCTGAAAACAGTTTGATTCTCCATTTATTCTCTCAATCCACAGTCTCTGCTGGACTCTAGTAAGAGTAAAAACACTTGTAAATCACAAGTTAGACAGTTAGCAAAAACAATTTATTGTTCAGCCACTGTCTTCTCTGAGGAGTCATTTTGATGAAGTGTATTGTATCTTTTAACATTAATGACATTAGTCATGTGAGTTGATTGTGGTAAAGATGAGTCCTGTAGGTTTTTGTACAGCTGCTCAACCAACTCCAGTCACTGTGGCTCTCGAGCACAATAATAAACAGCAGAATCTTCAGTCTTCAGACTGTTCATCTGCAGATACACCTGCTGTCTGTTGTTGTCTTTGGAGATGGTAAACTGGCCTTGAACTGACTGAGAATAGTAAGTGCTACCACCGCTACTGATATAAGCAACCCACTCCAGGCCTTTTCCAGGAGCCTGTCTGATCCAGTGCATGCCCCAGCTGCTGAGTGCGAACCCAGAAGTTGTACAGGTCAATCTGTGGGATTCTCCAGGCCTTTTAACCACTGGTTCAGATTCTTTCAGAGTCTGACCATCAACACCTGTTAGGACAAGAAAATAATAATTTTCATTGAGTTGGTAATGTTTTAAAGACAACTCAACTCAAGATCACTGAAGATCTTCACCTGCCCAGCAGACAGTTAAAAGCAGCAGTCCTGTCCTATAGTCCATCATGTTAAACTGTGTGTCCACTGTTCTCTGTCATCCTCTCTGCAGTCAGATAAGTAGAGGTGGAAGAAATCTGAGTTTTGCATTGACTCCTCCTCACAGGGAGGAACTGGATTTGACTTGGATCTCAGTTACTGTTTGTTGAAGGTTGTCTGTCATGTTGTGGAGTCATTCCTCCAAGAGTGCCTTTTTCATGTGTAAATAGTAGTAGTTTGTGCAATAGATGGATATTCACAATATTAAAGTGGGTAGCTTCATTTAGAAGACTTTGGCAGGTTTTCAGTTTTTCACCTTATGCAATTAGCACACTTAGGCATGCAGGTGTTATTGCCCTATTCTTTGCACTGTGTGGTTTGTTTGTGTACTTCGGCTTCTAATTATAAGGCAAGATGACTTATGATTACTCCAACTTAAAAAATGAGCCATTTAAAACTGTAACAGAGTACCAAAGTCACTAACGCGTTCACATACATTTCCCCCTTTACTATGTCCAAAGGATAAACACAGCTTAACAGTGTCCTTTTGTTGAGAATTATTTTAGAACATTACAGCCTAAATTGTTATCATTAATTACTAGAGCGAAGGTGGTCTGCATTGGCATCATTTAAAGTATTATTTTAGAGTGTAAAGTTAAGATTACAGTGTCAAAACTCTATAGCTATTGTCATCATTTAGAGTGCTATTTTATAGTGTAAAGTTAAGATCACAATGCTGAAACTCCATAGCTCTGAGAGTGTGTGGTCCTCTCTGTGTCTAGCTGCTCGGAGGCAGTAACAGTAGCACATGTGTGTGTAAGCAGGCACGTGCACTCTGGGAGCAGAATGAGCACAGCAAGGCATCATCAAAAACACCAGCAAACGAAAATGTAGAAGCAGAATTAGTGAAAATTTTGTTACAAAACATACATCAATACAGTAAGAAGGTCCTGTCTATAGCAAAAAGTACAAGAGACACCAGCTTATTCCACAAAGTCAGGTTTTTGGTTAAAATAGCATGATCGGCAGAGGGCATGCCTAGGACACAGAGAGGGGGAGCATTGCAGACAAAAAGTTAGACATCAGTCAAGAAACAGTCATCACTGATTATCATTGATCAATATTAATCATTGTTAATCATTTTAATCAGTTTTATTGTCTTTAATCAGTTACTTTAAGTAATCATTCTTATATCATCATTTTTAATCATTTTACTAGTATTAATCAATAATCATTCTTAATCATTTTCTTTTTACATAGATATGCTTTAGTTTTTACTTATAAGTAGTGAACTGTAGTCATGAACACAGAAACAGATCCTTGAGTGGGAGGAATGACTGCAGGAAGTGGCTGCAGGTGGTTTGCCTTGTCCAACTGTTATCTACTGTAGATTATGACCACAGGAGAGGCTGCAGGTGTGCAAGATCTGCCGACACTGTGACAGTGCATGCTTTGGTCTACTGTTATCTACTGTTGTTGTGATTACACAAGGAACTGCTGAGGTGTTAATCTGCTAACATTAAGACTATATGCTTAATTACTGATTAAGGGGATTTGATTGTCAACTTCCAACCTCTGGTTATTATAGCCAGTATGAGCTTTGAGTGAATTTGCTTATGACCTGTGTGAACTTTGAGTGAACTTGCTGAAGGAATTCATGCTTTGCAAAAACACGACAGAGGATGACCAAAAAACCGACAGATGCTTGGCAAAAACACGACAGACAGATGATAAGCAGAAAGCAGAAAGCAGCCAGGATAACATCAAGAATGCTGTAAGAAACCAAGCATTAATGAAAAATGCAACTTTACTTATGTTATTCTTATATTAATTGGTTAAAAAATACAATTATGTGTCAAATTAAGCATGCGTAACCTTTAAAAAACACAGTGAGACTGAAGTTGAAATGTAAATGATGAACTTCTTATACAGTAGTATAAAGATGTAGAAAGTCTACAATACAGTAATAAATGACAGCTGGGGAACAGTGTTAATTGGTAAAAACAACACAATAACAGAGGAAAAGAAGTTCATCATGAGGAAAGGAGGGGGCAAACCAGCCCAGAAGAGATATATATAAGACTGTCTGCAGACCATAGGATGGACTTCATCCTCCGACCTGCTGGGATGTTGTACGGGTTTATGTGTCCTATTTTGGAATAAACTCTTTTGCACCGACTCTTGACCGTCTCCAAAGAAGTTTTTGCTTGCAAATTTATTGACTATAATAGAAAGCTAATGGAGTATTTTTTGACAAAGTTTATTAAGTTGGTGAAGGTGGGGACCAGGCTTAACTGGCCCAGCCTGGTCGTACATCTGACCCAACACTTTCCTGAGGAGCAGCGATCCACTTACTTAGATGTCACCAGCATCTTATATCTCAGCACAACACATTAAGTGTCTGTTTCACATATGAGACAAAGTTTAGCAACAGGCCTTTCCAAAGTACTGGATTTTGTTTTAACCAGCACTCAACGAACCAGTCCTTTAGTGTACAATATAGTGTCCACTACCCTGGCGATGCCAGTTGGAATAATAGCCCATTAATTTGTCTATCATGTCAGTACTTTCAGTGAGGTCTGTGTAGTGCACAATGACAGCCTTTCTCGCCTCGTCATCATCCTCAGAAAGTTTCACACTTACTGCTTCTCTGGGCTGTTGATAGGCAGGATCTTTCAACACTGAAGGTCCGTTAATCCAGTTGTGAGTGGCCGTGAACTGCTCTGCAGAGAGCCCACAAGATGCACAGTCAGCTGGATTTTCTGTTGTTTTGATGTGCCGCCATTGTTCCATCTGCGTTGATGCTGTGATGATTGCAATTCTGTTAGCAACAAAGGTTTTGAGAAGTAGAGCCTTATTTCCAATGTATTTCAATACAGCAGTACTGTCAGTCCAGAACACAGAGTCGTTTAGCTCCAGCTGCAGCTCCTTCCTTAAAAGTGTGTCTATTTTGACGGATACCACAGCAGCCGTTAGCTCCAAACGTGGAATAGTGGTTTGCTTTAGAGGAGCCACCCGTGCCTTTCCCATCATGAAAGCACAATGCACATGGCCGTCACTGTTTGTGAGCTTCAGGAAAGACACCGTTCCATAGCCCTTCTTACTGGCATTAAAAAAATGGTGTAACTGTGTAGACACGACAGATCCAAATCTTTCAGGCTTGATACATCTTCTCACTTGGAAGTCTGAAAGTTGAGGCAGCTGACTTATCCAAGCATTCCAGTATTGTGCGAGTTTGTCAGGCATTACCTCATCCCATGTAAGCTTGTCCTTGCATAGTTGCTGCAAAAAGATCTTAGCTGGCAGCACAACTGGAGCGAGAAGTCCAAGGGGGTCGTATATGGAGCTTACGACTGACAAAACTCCTCTTCTTGTTGCTGCTTTCTTGCTGACGTTGACTCTGAATTTGAAGCAGTCAGACTCTATGTCCCAGAGCACACCAAGGGCTCTTTCAACAGGAAGAGCATCTTAATCCAGGTCCGAAACCTTAAATTCCATAGCTCTCTCACTTTCTGGAACAGCCATTAAGAAAGCTCGGCTGTTGCTTGTCCACTTAGTCAGATGAAATCCACCTGAGGCGCACAAGGCCATGAGGTCTCTACTCAGGGTGATGGCTTCAGACTCATTACTGACTGCCTTTAAGCAGTCATTTACATAAAAATTCCTGAGAACTGTGTCCACAGCTTCAGGTGAAGATCCTGTTCTGTTAACTTCCGCTGTTGTCAGTAGAGCAATGTTGGCGCAGCTTGGGGATGAGGTGGCACCAAACAGGTGGACAACCATTTTGTACTCCACCATTTCCTGTGTCAGGTCCCCTTCTGGCCACCGGCAGCCACAGACAGCGGGGTGACAGCAGCCCCCACCACAGAGGAGACGAGGATGAGGCACATCCGAGGACCTAAGGTAAGCCTTGAGGCAAACAAGCACTCCGGCACGCTTTCACCGTTCACCAGTTCTAGATCCGTAATCACGCTTTCATGTCAATCCGACAGCTATCTGGCTGTGATCCCGTCCTATTCTTTCCCACCAACGCAGTCCCACACTCCCCCAAGATCCTCCCTTCTAACTGTAGAAACAGTAAAAGCAACCGGAGTATGCCATCTCTTTCTGAGGGATATTTATGTAACTTGGAGGTCAAAGTCTTAAAAAGACTCAGGTAAAGAAATGTGCTTTGGCACAGTATCAATAATCCCTACACCTTTTCTTTAACTGTTGTTTATGCAGTGTTTTGTAAGTCTATTCATCATGATGGCCCTCAAAATATGTAAAACGAAAAAAGATAGGATTCCTTACAAAAATATTATCTTTTAATAGACCTACTGCTGCATTGTTTAAAGACATTGTTTGCGTTATGAGGATGACACAGGATTTAAGTTTCATTCATGCAAACTGTTTTGAGGTAAGCTATTAAAGAGGTGGTGTTATGGATTTTGGCCCTCTCCTTTATTGAGTTATATATGTTTTTTGTGCATGTACTAGGTTTGCAAAGTGAAAAAGCCCAAAGTCCACCCCAAAGGGAGTTCCCATCTCCCACTGAAAACTCTGCTCTGAACTGTCTGAAAACTGCTCATTTGGTGAGCGACTACTCCGACACACCCTCAGAAACACCGGGGGAAAACACTGAGCTGCAGCACACACCTCTCCTCTCCCTTCCAAACACTAGCTACCCTCCAAGCAGTCAAAGGACATGAAGTTGTTACTGTGATGTAGAGACAGAGCTCAGTTAAAACTTTAGGGATGAAAGATACTTTTGTTACAGATTAATAACTCGCCACTCTGAAACTCTTGCTCCAGTCCAAATTGCCAACCTGGTCGGCAACAGAGCCTACAGCTGATTCGAAGCTGTTGACCGTCTTTTCGCTGACCCGCCCTTCTCTGCTTGTGATTGGCTAGTAGTCCTTAACTAAGAACTGCGAATGTGCAGCTCCCAACAAAGATCATTTAGAGACAAGATGTATCACTCCATAGCTAAAACGAAGCATTCAATACAGGGTGAATAGGAGCTGCAGCAATGTAACAATGTAATTAGGACTAAA